GAGTTCTTTGTATATTTTGGAGATCAGCCCTCTGTCAGATGTGGGGTCACACACATCAATTTTTAAAAGGAAAATTATACAAAAGAGCACATGTTCTTTCCTCTTTCTTCTTTTAACCCTTTCATAGTTCAAGGGACAAACAAAATCACTCTCTGATAATACTGTTATTAGTCAGCTGTTAGTCTCATCTGCATGAAGTAAAACATTTTTATCTCTTAGTGAAGGGATCCCAAACGTCAAAGAGCTTGTGAGGTCAGATATGCAAACCCATTGCCTACAGCCAGCTTTTTCATCACACACCAGCTCCAAAATAACATCACAAAAACATATTATTAATTATGAAAGCTTGGTCTTTAAGCTTGTCTCGACTAGCTCTTACAATTTAAATTAACCCATTTATATTAATCTATATTCTGCCATGTGTCATTACTTCTCTTCCAACTTGTAACTCCTGTTTCCTCTCCATGTTCTGGATGGTGACTCCACCTTTCTTCTTCCTAGAGCTCTCTGCCTAGAAGTCCCACCTATACCTCCTGCCTAGCTATTGGCCTTTCAGCTCTTTATTACACCAATCACAGCAATACACCTTCACAGTGTATAAAGATGCCACAACAATTGCTCTTAATATATTGTCCTACAGTGAAGTGAAGTCTGGGTTGCCTCTAGCTCCCTATTCACATAACATGGATGACAAAGGTATGCACACGACAGGGAAAGCTAACCATTGGAAAAAATGTGGTTCTTTCAATTATGCTTAGGGCTTCTTGGGACACGTCTTGTATCATCATGTTGAAGCAACATCCAATTGCTGCTTTTTGAAACAACTTGGGAGGCCTCCACGGTTATTCCCTCAAATTCTCTTCGATACAAAGACAGACACATAAAATTCCTGTTTGTCATGAGCTTGGGCCCCAACTTGTACTGTCGACCCAGCCAGATGTGCAAGCAATGACAGTGGTGCAGTGTTCCCCAGTTCCCTGCCACTGCAAGGACTTCCCACACACACCAAGCTGGAAATCCACATAGCTTCACAAGGAAGCAAATCTCTGATGTGCTAAAAAGTGCTTAAGATTAGCATCAGAGCTCCTTTTGTGGCTAAGTTCAAAACAATACACTGTTTTGTGTGCTTTCATCTACAAAGTCATAGACAGGACATGTGGTGGAGAGTAGAGCACTTGAAGCTCCCACCTGGGTGGAATCTGGCCAATTTTCCACCTCTAACTCCAGCAGACGAGCTCAAACCAGCCTGACCCTTTCCCCTGGCAGGTTCTGAACAAAATGCCCATGCCCATGAATTCAGATGATGTCAGAGGTTCTTGGCTGATTCTGTCCTTTGTTTATGAAGCATCTCAAGGCCATCCAAAATTAGAATTCATTTTCTGATACTGTTACTTTGTTTCAGATTACATAGATGAACAGCAAACCCATCCAAAATTTAGTATTTACTTTCTGATACTGCCACTTAGTTCCAGATTACATAGATAAAAATGTTAAGGAGAAACTCCAAAAATCTTAGCAGATTTCAATAGCATTAATAATAAGCAGGCCATGAAGTTGCTCTGGGGAGGTGAGCTGCAGGCACCCTCCCTACATACCAGACAGGTTCCAGGGAAAACCAGGGCTCTTGGCCAAAGGGCCTCTGGTTTTGAACACCTCTCCACTCTCAGGCAGCACTTAGTTTGCTTAGCGGTTGAGTGCTTGGCCTTGAAGTGGCTCAAGTGAAAAGGCTACTCTTTCAGCAAGCCCTTTATCATAAAGTTGTTCACTGGAATGTTCCCCTTTTCAGATATAAATGAGTGTGCTCTGAATATCCATATGTGCAGCCTCCATGCCAATTGCCTCAATACCCCAGGATCCTTCAAGTGCAAATGCAAGCAGGGATATAGGGGCAATGGACTTCAGTGTTCTGGTAAGTAGCATTTGGTCATGACAGTTTTTCTATCTTCCCCACAAAAAAGCGTTCTTTCCAGATCTCTTTCTCTCTGTCTCTGTCTCTGTCTCTGTCTCTCTCTCTCTCTCTCTCTCTCTCTCTCTCTCTCTCTCTCTCTCTCTCTCTGGGGGTGAGAGACATCCAATGAACTCTTCAATTATAGTAAATTTAAATTCTAAGTGTATAAGCCAGACATCCAATTAGAAAATGTCACAGCTGTTAATCTGGAATAACAAGAAAAGAGATTTCCCATGAGTACTATGTATAAAGAGACATTCTAGAAGATTTCTTCCTTAAGGAGAAACCCAATCTGACTAAGGTTCCATCATCTTATGGTACTAGGGTATTATTCCAAGCCCTTAGGATATTTCACACCCTGGAAAGAAGCATGGGCAATTAGATACCTACCATCTCTTATTACTTCAGCTTGGAAGTGGCAGACTTCAAGGGCCAAAATAATGATGATGGTAGTGGTAGTAATTAATGATGGTGGTTGGTGGGGGTGGTGATGAACACTATGAACCCCAGAGAGTACCTGGAATACCTGCCAGGACAAGCTATGTATGCTCACAGAGCAGGCCATCCTCTAGTAAACAGAGTCCTATAGTGTTTAAAGTCAACTAGCCAGCACAGTGACTCATGCCTGTACTCCCAACACTTAAGAGGTGGAAGCAGGAAGATAAGGATTTTATGGTCATCCTTGTCTGCATAGTGAGTTTGGCCTGGGCTTCATGAGGTCAAGATGAATAGTAGTAATTATGATAAAATAATAATTAACATCAACTTCTAGATTTATCTTTCTTTTTAATATTTTATTTTTTTATTATGCATGCAGCATTCTGCTTCCATGTACATCTGCACACCAGAAGAGGGCACCAGATCTCATAAGGGATGGTTGTGAGCCACCATGTGGTTGCTGGGAATTGAACTCAGGACCTCTGGAAGAGCAGTCAGTGCTCTTAACCTCTGAGCCATCTCTCCAGCCCCTAGATTTATCTTTCTTGTAATCCTGGCCCATTGTGTGACTAGACTTGCTTTTGTTTTGTTGTATTGTATTGTGTTTTTGTTTGTTTGGTTGGTTTTGATTTTCATTATTATTACATTATTATCATCATCATCATCATCATCATTATTATTATTAGTGTGTGTGTACATTATTATCATTATTATTATTATTATTATTATTATTATTATTATTATTAGTGTGTGTGTGCGTGTGTGTGTGTGTGTGTGTGTGTGTGTGTGTGTGTGTGTGTGTGCGTGTGAATGGTGTTTGAGGGGCATGCATACCATAGCATACATGTATACATGTGGAGGTCAGGAGAAACTTTCTGGAGTCAGTGCTCTCTGTCCACCTTTTTGTGGACTCTGGAGATCAAACCAGGCTTGTGCATCAAGAGCCTCTAATGAGCTGAGCCATCTCACTGGCCCTGTTGGTTTGATTATTTGTTTTGAAAAAAAGGTCTTGCTATGTAGTCTTGGCTGCCTAATACTCACTATGTAGTCAAGGCTAGCTTTGAACTGACTACTATCCTTCCTGAGTCCTGGGACTAGAGGCATGCCCTGCAACACCTGCTATAGACTTCTTTACTGCCCTGTCTCAAGTATCTCCTATGCCCTTTGGCACAATTCTCATCAGTATGGCTGTAAATCATATTCTGACCTGCCTCATATCCTGTGACCCCACCCAGCCAAGTCTGCTGATGACACACAGAATATCTTCTAAGCTGTGCAAGACTAAACACTATGTGCCATGACAGACATTCAACAGCACACACATAAAAGGTTCCTGGTATCCAAGTGGACTGTGGCTAGGGCCATTCCATGAAGAACTTTCAAAAGAATCGATTTTGAAGAAAAATGATGATGAGAAGCATAAATTGTGCCTGGAAATGTTTTTTAAAATGGGACATAGAGCTAGCCGGTGATGGCATACACCTGTAATCCCAGTTGGGGGGGGGCACAAAAAGCAGGGGGATCTCTGTGAGTTCGAGGCCATCCTGGTCTACAAAGTGAGGTCCAGGATGGCCAGAGCTGTTATACAGAGAAACCCATTCTTGAAAAACCAGAGGAGGAGGAGGAGGAGGAAGAGGAGGAGGAAGAGGAGGAGGAGGAAGAAGAGGAGGAGGAGAAGGAGGAAGGGGAGTAGGAGGAAGGAGAGAGAGGAAGAGAAGGAACAGGGAAAGGGAAAGGGAAAAGGAAAGGAAATGGAAAGGAAAAGGGAAGGGAAGTGAAAGAGGAAAGAGAAATGGAAGAGAAGGGAAAGGGAAAAGGAAAGGGAAAGGGAGGGAGAAGGGAAGGGGAAAGGGAGGGCAGGGCACGGCACATGAAACAAAAGTAGCTCCTCCAAAGAAGACTGAGGCCAATGAGTAGAAAGTCCAGTCTCTTGCAAAGCTGACTAGGTAATTTTTAAGAGTGGATCAGGAAACCTCACATAGTCGTAATGGCATAGGCATGGATAAGTATCCAGAGGGCTTTTGAGATGCCCAGGTCTCTGTGTCCCAGAACTCATTCTCCAGTTGATTGAAAGGTCTCTTTTGAATTAACTCTTTTTGAGGGGGGGGGTCGAGACAGGGTTTCTCTGTGTAGCTTTGGAGCCTGTCCTGGCACTCGCTCTGGAGACCAGGCTGGCCTCGAACTCACAGAAATCCGACTGCCTCTGCCTCACGAGTGCTGGGATTAAAGGTGGGCGCCACCAACGCCCAGCTTTGAATTAACTCTTAAGAGAATGGAAAAGAGTATGTCTCTATTCTTCAGAAAGCTTCCTGGTGGGTGAAAATCTTGGAATCTTTCTGTTGATTTAAAAAGTCATGGTTCCACTGAGAACCCATTCTGTAGTTTAAATCATATAACAGACTAGATAAAAAAAAAAAGAATTAAAGAAAGAACCAAAAAAATAACTTAAAGAAAAATATAAAAAACAAATATAAAAAATATTAAAAATCCCATGTTTTACCAGGGAAAACATAGCCTTCTGTTGATGGGCCTCAACAAAGTCCTGCTATGTCTGCCCTCCTTCCTTTCATATGGTATTTTAAATCTGAACAAAGGGGGAAATCTCAATACTCTCTCTCAAGCCATTCTGATACTTAGCCCTTCTTTTATCTATCACTGTTTTTCACTGACAAAGTTAGTGTGTTGCCAGGGACATAGGAAGTACAGCCAGAAGTGGCCCATCAATGATGACTCTCAAACCTGATCATTTTTAAATTTATTTTCTTCATTCTTTGACAATTTCATACACGTATCTAATGTATTTTGGTCATTTTGACACCCCCTCCCATTAGCCTCTCATCCCACTCCTGCTGAACGCCTTTATCCAAAGTCTCCCTCCTAGTTTTGTGTCTTTGTTGTTTTGTTTTGTTTTTTCTTAGGGTGGGTGGTGACCTACTGAGTTTAATTAATTAGAGTTGCTTGCATGAGCATGGGGTGAGGGTAGTTATTTACTGAAGCAGGGCAGTTTACCAGTATCTACACCATTGAAGAAAATGACTCCCCCCCCATTAACCATTACCTACCAACAGCTCCTCAAAGAAGATGGGGCCTCATAAGCCTCTCCCCTCCATTCGTAATGGAATGTTGATAGGATCCATCTTGTGCAAGTTACCATAGCTAGCATGAGCTCCTGAGTGCAATATCCATGTTATGTTCAGAGGACAGTGTTTCACAGCACAACTGCTCATCCTCTGGTACTCATAGTTTTCCATCCCCTCTTCCATGACATTCCCTGAGATTTGGAGGAGGGTGTTATAAAGTTATTATTTGGGGCTGATTCTGGAAACATTTACTTCCTGCATTTTGACACTTCCAAAATGTTTGATTGTTCAAGAATGATCTCAACCAAATGGGAATTCTCCTGTCTTGCTTTTTGGTTTAGTTATCCCTGAAAACTCTGTGAAGGAATTTCTCAGAGCACCTGGGACCATCAAAGATCGAATCAAGAAGTTACTGGCTCACAAGCACAATATGAAGAAAAAGGTGAAGCTGAAAAATGTCACCCCAAGACCCACCAGTACACACACCCCTAAGGTTAACTTGCCTTTCAGCTCTGAAGAGAGCATTTCCAGGGGCGGAAACTCTGATGGAGAGCAAAAGAGGACGGAAGAGAGAAAGAGAGAGGGGCTGGAGGAAGAAAAAAGAGACAAAATCCTACAGAATGCGATAGAACAGGAGCGAAGCCTTCGAGGAGATGTGTTTTGTAAGTATTGCTTTCGTTATTCTAGCATTTTACAAAAACAAACATGATTCCTCATGAGAAATCAATGAACAAGAGTAGACAATTCCTGCCATAAGAAAGATGGCTTAGTTCCCTTTCAATATACTGATTCTGAAACATACAAACTTTTTATTTAAAAACATTTTATTACAATCACTTTATTAAATCACAAATAAAACCATCACACAGCAACTTTGAGGAGGCCACTCAAACATTTGTGCAATCCCAAACTATACACCTCAGTGAGCTCCTATATACTTATCATGGCCATTCTGAAGCTGTAGAGCTTCACTTGGGGTTTCACTACCAGTTACATTTTTATGCACCTATGCACCACCAAAAAGGAAACAACATAACAGAGTTGAAACTTGGAAAAAAAACTATCTATCCTCTTTCATGACTCATTTCCCTGTAGTCTGTCCTTTATCATCACCTGTCCTTTTGCCTGTATTCTGTCCCTTCTCATCACCTAATATTACCTTCTCTTGATCTTCTTCCTAAATGCTATACTACACCAATACTCACATGGGTTGACATATATGCATATAAGCATTAGGGGCTATGATCGGCGTATGAAGGCGAACATGTGGTGAAATGTTTTTAAACTAGAAAAAGGAAAACAATTTGACCCTCAAGTCCCCAGAAGCAAAGGCCTATGTAAGGTCTAAAGAATATTTTCCACAGGTGCTAAATGGGGTCTTCTTGCTCTGGGAAATGGGAGGCTAAGTCCTGTCCTGTACTTTTGTTTGGCACAGCCCTCCCTGCCAACACACAGCAATCATAGTTGAATGGCTGCCAGACTCTCCATGCAGGGCACCCACCGAATCAGAGACCTTCATCACCAGATCTCCCAGGCACTCCTGGAATTCACTATGTAAATTAGGCAGACCTTGAACTCAGATATCTACCTACCTCTGTTTCTAAGTACTAGGATTAAAGATGTGTGCCACTGTACCCAGCATTTGTAAAGTTTTTATGATGCCCATGGTGATGGTGCCCACCTTTAATCCCAGCACTCAGGAGGCAGAGGTAAGGTGGATCTCTGTGAGTTCAAGGACACCATGGTATAGAGTGAATTCCAGGACAGCCAGGGTTACACACACACACACACACACACACACACACACACACACACACACACACACACACGCACACAAAATAACTTGTCTCAAAAAAGAGATTTTATAGACTATCTGAGTTATTCCAATGAAATGTCATACATGCGCAGAATATATTTTGTCATATTATGCTCTCTTGTCCCATTCTCACTCTTGCTGGTCCCCACCCTCTTCCCAACTAGTCCCCTTCCTACTCTCATATCTTGTTTTTGTAACCTGTTGTGAATTCAAATTCCTTCTCAGGGAAGATATAAACAACCCCTCTCTGCCATCCTTATGAGGCCCCAACAATAGCACAAAGGGTGATTACACCAGAGCCTAACATGGCTAACCAATGAGTCTATTGGGCTTACTTACACAGTAAGTCTTTGCTTGATGGGCTACTTACAGGAGTGTTAGTGACCCCAAAGCAGACACACCACCATTCAGTCTCACGTCTGCATGGATGACAACTTCCCCATAATTCATAGATGGAGTCTCCCTTCAGTTACTCATCCATAACAATGGATGGTAGGGAGTGGTAATCTAACATGTTCTGCCATTAGACTCCATGAAAAAACCTTCGAGGTTCCAATACTAAATTCATTCCTTTGGTGCATGAGATCAGGGTTGGGTTATTTCTTAACTGATCAACATTCTTTATCAGCTCCTAAGGTAAATGAAGCAGAGGATTTGGATCTGGTCTACATCCAAAGAAAAGAGCTAAATTCCAAACTGGAACACAAAGGTAACGTTAAAAAAATAAGAAAAACAAAACAAAATACTGCTCTTGTCTCAAAGAGAATAAATGATGAGTGGTCGCGGCCTAGGATTACAGATTTCAGGTATCTCAAACATCATCTTCCAATGTAGTAGCAGTTTCCTAGATTTTTATGGTAAGGAACAAAGAAAGTCATAAATCAAATCATTTTTCAAATGCACTGATGACAGCACCAGGTCAATAGTTTCCAGCCAAGTGGAGGAACCTCTGCTATAGGCTCCAGATGCTATCTGATGACATTTTTAGCTTTGGGGTTGGTGGAAGCTGGGAGTCTGCTAAGTTAGTACATCTGAGAAAGATTCACCTGATAGTCACAAAGGTGTCCAGTCAGACATGGAGGTAGGCAACAGATGGCTATTAAAGGGGCCAAAACAGCTCAAAATAATTTGACTCTAGATCTGCAGCATCCCGACCTCTCTGCAGTAACTCAAGTAGCCTTTGTAGAATGTTCTGTGTAGGTTTGGCTCCTTCCCAGGAACTTTTGTTCACAGCAACCAATGTTTTCTTTCTAAGTATTTATAGTTTAAAACAGTTAACAAACTCGTGGAAAGGAGCTAACATGAGATCACCCTTCGGGAAAACCTTTGTTAGATGAGGCCCTGACGTGGGGGAAAGACCTTTCAACTCAGGAGAGAAATAGCATCGTGGCTATAGGGAGCTCTAACAGGACCTTGAAGGGAGAAATAGAGCCTTCCCTTTAAAGCTAGAGTGCAAAGGGGTTGACTCTTATAGGTTTGGGGGGTTGAGGAGTCAACCTTCACACCATGTGATCTAGACTGCACTGGCCTACATGCCAGCATGAAGACAGGCACTAGATAGTACTATAAACTTGCCTTGTAAGTAGAGGGGGCGGGGGCACTTCAAGAACACAGCACAGCATACTTTCTTATCAGCCCCTGGGAGTAAGAGAAAAGCAGTTAGAGAGTCTGTGCTTGCACACTCTCGACTGCATCATCTTTCATTTCTTGAAATCACTGCTTCAATTGTAAGGAATCAAGAGAAAACTCACTATACTGTGGGGCACAGAACCTTTCCTGGGGAGACATGAGTAAATAAATATTTATTCACTCTAGATGTGGCACTAATAACAGACTGAAGTAACCATTCTACCCAAGTCTAAGTTGGTGAAGCAATGAGCTTTTCAGGTTTACTTCAAAGAAGTATGAGTGAATGAAAAATAACTGTATCACTGAGAGGTCCCACTTCATCATAGATAAGGATGATGTCAGAAAAGCTGCATCACAGAGTCCTGCCTTTTCAGGTCTTGTCTGCCCTAGTGCCTCCTAAGACTATTGCAGCAAGGCGGGGGTAATCACGAGGGAGGAGATGGCTAGAATCCTAGGTGAGAGTCCTGTGCCCCTCTCCCACTACAAGGGTCTGTTACTGACTCTGTTACCACTACTATAAACCTGTCCATTACTGTATTGATAAGTTTATTTTGTTGCCATGACTACAGGGCCAAGTACTCTGTAAATTAACTCAGCATCCTCTCCTCCATGATAAAAGATGGCTGTATAGGGCCAGGAGGAAATCCCTTTACCCCTAACCACCAGTGTTTAAATAATAGGTCATTTTATAATGTTTTTATTGGGGCTGGAGAGATGGCTCAGAGGTTAAGAACACTGACTGCTCTTCCAGAGGTCCTGAGTTCAATTCCCAGAAACCATATGGTGGCTCACAACCATCTATCATGAGATCTGGTGCCCTCTTCTGGCCTGCAGGGATACATGCAGACAAATTTTAAAACCATTTTTCAAAAAATGGTTTTATCATACATTAATTATACATAATAAATTTCATTATGACATTTTATAATGCTTAAAATGTACTTTGACCATGTTTGTCCCTATTATCCTCTGTTGTGCCCCTCCCACTCTCACTGATTCTATTCCTCTTCCCAACTAGTTCCCATTCTACTTGGTATACATCTAGATCATGGGTCTGCCCCTTTAAGAAGCTGATCACATTAAGATGCCAGTCACATTAAGATGCCACATTAAGAGGCCAGATCTCTCACAGCCACACACCCCTGCAGCTCCCACTCCCAGTCAGAGTCAGGATGCTGTCAATAAAGCATAGTCTTACCCAAAACCTGACTCTTCCATGTTCTTTATCACACAGGCTATGTTGAACTAAACTTCATGACATGAAACTTCCCAGAAGTTTTTTTAAAAAACTGGCCACAACTAGCCAAACTATCTCCTTTGTCTCTCTGTCTCTCTATCTCCCTCTGGCTCTCTCTGTGTCTCTGTCTCTGTCTCTCTCTCTTTTTGTTTCTTAATATAGGGTTTCTCTGTGTAGCTCTGGCTGTCCTGGAACTCAATCTGTAGGCCTTGAACTCACAGAAACACAGAAATCTGCCTGCCTCTACCTCCCAAGTGCTGGGGTTACAAGTGTGTGCCACCACTGCCTGGCCACCAAGGGGGTTTCTATAAAGGCTTCTTCTCTTCTGGAAATCCCACTGGCATGCTGCCACGGGGATTACTTAGGGGTATCTCTTTTCTTGTTGTTTTGGGGTTTTGTTGGTTGGTTTGTTTGTTTGTTTGTTCATCCTTGTTTTTGGAAACAAGGTTTCTCTGTGTAGCCCTGGCTGTCCTGGAACTCACTCTGTAGACCAGGCTGTCCTCAAAGTCACAAAGATCCAGCTGACTCTGCCTCCCGAGTGCTGAGACTAAAGATGTGTGCCACCACCACCCTGGCTAGGCTATCTCTCTTAATGAAGCTCCTCTCCAGATTCTAAAAGAGAGACTCTTTCCCATTAAGATCCCCATCATGCTGCCTCTGATATGATAGATACACTGTCTGCCTTTAATGCTGTCCCACCTGAAAGTCAAACCTGACCTGTGGAAAATGGACAGTCATAGATCTCAGCCTGATTTAGGTTCTGGCTCAGTTTCAGCATTCAGTATCTGTGAAGCCTGGGTAAGTCACTTAGGAGCCTTAGATTTAGTAAGGGTCAAATGACAGATATCTTTGATGATCAAATTAGAGGACATGACGTTTGTGGGGAGAAATGGCAAATTGAGATGAGTCAAGAAAAGGCAACTTATGGACCAGCAAGATGGCTCAGAAGGTAAAAGTACCTGCCACCAAACTTGATGACTTGATTTTGCTCCCCAGGACCCACATAGGGGAAGGACAGAGCTGACTTCCACAGATTGTCCTCTGACCTCCACATGCATAGTTCAAATGTAATTTTAAAAATGTTTAAGAAAATCTGGGCCTTGGTGGCACACGCCTTTAATCCCAGCACTCAAGAGGCAGAGGCAGGTGGATCTCTGTAAGTTCAAAGCCAGCCTGGTCTCCAGAGCGAGTGCCAGGATAGGATCCAAAGCAACACAGAGAAACCCTGTCTCGAAAAACCAAAACTAAAAAAATTTCAAGAAAAGGCTGGCCTAACATGGTAATACAAACCTTTGATGCCAGCATTCTGGAGACACTTGAGCTTATGTAAATGAGAAACCATTCTATACAGCGAATTTCAACCAGCTGGAGCCAAACAAAGAAACCGTGGAGAGAAAGGGGTGCTGCCTTAGCTTTACATCAGAAGTGTCTTGGTCTCTGTCCTCTTTCACAGTGCGTTGTTGTCGTTATCTTATGTCATGAGTCAGCACACTTTTCTGTGGAAAGGGCCACAGAGCAAATATGTGAGACTTTGTGAGCCAGATGGTCTCTATAGTTCATAGGTCCCTTTGTCCTTGTAGCTTAAAGGAACAAAATACTATCCAGGTAAATGGAAAGCTGTGCTTCCATAAGACTTTATAAAAGTATACAGTGGGTTAATGTGTTGGCTTACAGATCTCTGCTATACATAAAAGTAACCAGAGACACTGGTTTTGAACCAGTTTCCCAGCACTAGCTGACTCCACTCATATTCCTCTGATCCATCTGAACAACACAGCCATACTGCCACAACAGGAAACAACAACAAACAATACATTTTAGAAACTGCCAGTAGGTCAGCCTATTTGATCCACTATGTCCCTGGCAAATTTCTAACAAGAATGTTGGATTCATAAAATGCCCACTGGATTTTAATTAAGGGAAGTACTGGGCGACGACATGAGGCCAATGCCATTGAAAAAATAATTTATTATGTACAAGAGAAGGGGATACACTAAGCAAGAGTAGGAACTAGTGGAAAACTAGGCCAACGTCTTTAAGAGTTATGTAGAAGGAAAGTCAATGGGGAGGGGCCAAGAGAGATCTTGGATAATTTGAATAATTATAGAGGCCTTAGGGCAGTGGTTCTCAACCTGTGAGTTACAACCCTTTTGGGGGTCAAATGATCCTTCACAGGGGTCACCCAAGACCATCGGAAAACAGATATTTACATTATAATTCATAACAGTAGCAAAATTATACTTATGAAGTAGCAATGAAAATAATTTTATGGTTGGGGATCACCACAACATGTATTAAAGGGTCATAACATCAGGAAGGTTGAGAACCACTGCCTTAGGGGCATGGGGGCTATCCATAGCTATCTGGTTCTGAGATGATGTAGGTCAAAGGGAAATACTGGTTTGGTGTGTGTGTTGGTCAGTTTACTCTCACTGTTAACAAAATACCTGAGCCTTGTAGGAAGGGATGTGAGTTAGACGTCTTATGGCTGAGCACTCCACAGACACTTGTTTTCTGCGCTTTGACTCTGGACTGAATTGTATGAACAACTGGTTATAATTCCCTGCTTCTATTCATTAGTGAGGGTCATTGTGCTCTTAACCATGGAGCCATCATTTGGTTCCTTCAGTTTTCTTTTTTAAGGTTGCAACAGAATTTATTGAGAATGGCTGTTACAGATGTAACTCAAAATAGGGTATCTGGGGAGATGGCTTAGTAGTTAATTGCATTTGCTGTTCTTGCAGAGAACACAGCTTCTGTTCTCACCCACACGGTGGCCCACAGACACCTGTAATATACATATAATTAGCCACATAATGTCCTCTTCATACCTCTATGAGCACCAACACACACATGGTACACAAATATAAATGCAGACAAAACACTCATACACATAAAACATAAAAGTCTAAAAACAGTGAATGTGGTTTAAACCACCCCTACAAGCATGTCAAATAGGCACAATCTATATTCTGTGCACCTAAACCCATGACATCACCTTCCAGAGCTCCAAATTAGCTATTTTTATGACTCTCTTAATGGTTCTGAATGTAATTTTTATTTTTTTCTTTAGCAGACTTAAACATCTCAGTTGACTGCAGCTTTGGTCATGGGGTCTGTGACTGGAAACAGGATAGAGAAGATGATTTTGACTGGAATCCTGCTGATCGAGACAATGGTATTTAAATATCACTGCTATATGTTCTAGGAGAGGTAGAGAAGGCTGCTGTTACCGGAGGGTTATTCCTGTCACTGCTTAGATCATGGCTGTTTATCATCTTGGGGAACCTTTGACCTTCTGAGGTGGATGAGTAACTGGTGTCGCATTTATTTCCTCTTCATCCCTCTCTTATGACCCAGAAAATGTGTCCCAGGATCCATCCCTTTTTTATATTTACCATCTTCCTTTTAAGAGAGGGAGAGGAAGATGGGAAGGAGTCTTCTGTAGTTTTCCTTTTTTGTGTTTTGATAGGAAATAAATCTTTAAAGATAATAGGACCTCTGTGTACACTGTTGTTATAGTAGAGTCACCTCTCAAAGGATCAAAACCATGATGAATGTCAAGTTAATGACCTAAACTCCAAGACTCAGCTCTCCTCTCTGATGCCTAAGGAATTCTTTCTGGCCACCTGGCCTTGAATTGTTCTCAGTATTAGCACTAAGCCATGAACTTCCTGCCTTTTGTAGTGTCTGCTTCAGCACTATTGGCAGGCCCTGGCTTCCCCTTGGATGGAGGATTTGGCTTGCAGATACAATTAGGAGCACATATGGAATCCTGCTCTCCTGAAAGCTGGCCATATAACTGGAACAACTATTATACAGCTCTGGACTCCAGTTCCTATTTCTTTGTGGATGTACAGACTCAGCCTTGGGTTAGAAGAGCCTTCCTTAGGACAAATTCCTTTCTGAGATATTTCCTTACCTTACAAGTCCAGACCTGCAGTCAGAAAGCTTTGATATCCTCTACCAAGAATTCCTGTCAGAACTTGGATTGGGGTAAAAGAAATATATCCCACACAGCAGTTGTTCTAGTGTGCCTAACCCTAAAGATTCAAGGGCAGTGGACAACTTTAACAAGAGATAATACAATACATCTTTAGAGAAACTGTCTTGATAACTAACACGAGTTTCTTCTTTCTTCCATTATGGGAATGTAGATAATGGTGCTACCAGAGCTATAGCACATGGGGAGTCCTAGACTGACAGCTCACGCAGTCAGCATTGTCTTACATTGAATTTACCATCAATGAAGTCTCCTATTTGCAACACCCAATTTGCAAATGACCCCCAGGTTCTCAGCATCTGAGGCAATCACATCATACCTTCTCCCTTCCTACATGTCCAGCGGGTCTCAAAAATAGTCTTGTGTTCCCCTATAGAGAAAATGCAGACAATAAACATGGAATGAATTGAGAGTGTTGGAGGGATAAACGGTCAAGGAGAGCTGAAAGCTGAAAGGCTTTAGCTGGGATTGAAGAGGTCACAGAAGAGAGAGTACAGCTGATAGAGTGACTGGATAAAGTACAAGATGCCTTCAGTTGAGCTAAATACACTTTTTAGTATGTCTTAAACATATTGTTTATTTGAAATTCAAACTCCACTGGGCATCCCAGAGTTTAATTTGATGAATGCTCAGGCTCAGCTCACCTTCTCCTTTTTATCCAGTCCTGGACTCCAGCCCAGGGAATGGCTCTGCCTCCACTCTGAGTGGATTTTCTCACCTCAGTTAGCTTAGTCAATCCCATATGGACATTCCAGAGGCTAATCTGATCTAGACAATTTCTCCCAGCTGTGCCCAGAGGCTTGTCTCCTAGGTGACTCTAGATCCTGTTAAGTTGACCATCAATATTAGCCATCACGGGTATGATGGCTACAGACTCTGGTGAAGCTGTTGTAGAAATAATATACCATCCCAGTGAGAAATCACTCTTCACACATAGAGATTAACAAAGGAAAAAGCTCTTACCATGTTTCTGACTCTGGCTAATGCCCAAAGAGAAGTTGGCCTTGAATAGGATATTTTGCTAATTTATTTACACCTTAAGCTAGCATTCTACATAAGCTATCATCCTTAAATCTCTTTCAGGTTCCAACCTCAGGTTGCACTTTAAGTAATTTAAACAGAGAGACGGAAGATTGCAAGAGTGGCCATTTAGGCAGATGGAAGATTTACATAGCAAAGATAATTGTATATTGCCAGAAACATTTTAAGTATACCAGCATTGTTCTTTTCCAAATAGTTGTTACCAAAGGTCATCTTGCCCATCTAGCAGAATTATGCTTTTTCTGGGGAAAAGGACACAACAGTGCTTGGATCCAGTGAAGACTAAGGTAGCATCAGCCAGGGTCCTACAAGTGTCTCCAGGAGTTGTACCAGGAGAATACTGTACACCATCCCCAATGTCTTCCTCCCAGCTTCTTTGTGAATTCTTTCTTGTCTACTTTTTCAGGCCATGCTATGTAAGAGTTATTTTAGCTGAGTCTAGGGAAATGGTTCAGGGATTAAGAGCAATGGTGTTCTCCCCAAGGACCTGGGTTTAATTACCAGCATCTACATGGCAGCTCATAATCATCTATAACTCCAGTTCCACATACTACAATGCCCTCTTCTGGATCCTAAGATCACTAGGCATGCACAAGTACAAATATAGATGTAGACAAAGCATCCATACACATATAATAATAATAATAAAAATAATAATAATAATAATAATAATAATAATAATAATAATAATAATAACGCCCAGTTTAGGCCAAGTGTATTCTGATGAGACATTTTTCTCTAGATCCACCTAAATAGCTGGCCATCATACCTGTGATGGCTAACATTGTCAACTCAACAGGCTCTAACGTCACCTAGGAGACAAGCATATCTGCAAGAGATTGTCTAGAGTAGATTAGCCTCTGGAATGTCTATGTGGAATTTTCTAGCTTAAAATGAGATGGCAAAATCCACTCAGAATGTAGGCAGCACCACTCATTCCCTGGGCTGGGATTGAGGACTCGATTAAAAGGGCAAAGTGAGCTGAGTGTTCAGCATTGTCTACATCCCCACCGTGGATACAAAGTGACTGGCTGCCTTAAACTACTGCCGCCATGACCTCCTCCACCACCCAGGGCTATATCCTTGAACTGTAAGCCAAAATAAGTCCTTCCTTAAGTTTCTTTTTATTAGGGTGTTTTGTATCAGCACACAAGTCACTAATACAATACCTATCCTTGATTCAGTGGAAAATGCATCCTAAGACTCAAATAATCAAGGTGGAAGTGTTCTGGAACTCATTAGCTGCAAATTACCTTCAGTGCTAAATGACCATTCTATTATATTCCTATTTGCTTCTGAATGTGGAAAATTCCTTAGCTTTCTGGCCCTTAGAGCTCTTCTCTGTATAAGAAAATATTTCAACTCTCCAATCCACAGGAATCATTTTTGCATAATGAATCATTTTTACATAACTATTCTATTCTAATGTAAAGGACTTCAGCATGTCCTATGGGAGATTGTTGTTCATTTTTCTTTTCTTTTTTTAAATAATTTGTTTATTTCTATTATATGTACATTGGTGTTTTGCCTGCAAGTATGTCTATATGAGGGCATCAGATCCCCTTGGAACAGGAGTTACAGACAGTTGTGAGCTGCCATGTGGGGTGCTGGGAATTGAACCTGGGTCATCTGAAAGAGTAGCCAATGCTTTTAATTGCTGAACCATCTCTCCAGCCCTTGTAGTTCATTTTTCTAGCTTATTTATTCTAGCTTTCTCACAGCCTTTTGTTCTCTTAAAGCTGTTGGTTATTATATGGCAGTCCCTGCACTGGCGGGGCACAAGAAGGATATTGGCCGATTGGAACTTTTCCTCCCCAACTTGACACCCAAAAGCACCTTCTGTTTGCTCTTCGATTACCGGCTGGCTGGAGACAAAATAGGAAAACTTCGAGTGTTCGTGAAAAATAGCAACAATGCCCTGGCATGGGAAGAGACTCAAAATGAGGATGAGAGATGGAAGACAGGGAAAATCCAGTTGTACCAAGGGATTGATACTACCAAAAGTGTAAGTGGGGAAGGAATTCCATAGTTCCAGTGATTCAACAAACTATTTACTGTTGTCCATAGGTCTCAGGTGTACAAGATAGGCAAGACTTGCCTACTCAGTGTGACTAAGGAGGGTATTCCTTCAGTTCTTCAGAAATGACCTATTGGTGTGTCTAGCCCCTCTTACTAAGTTCCATGCAAACCAGCTATGCATTCTTTAATATCTTAAAAACAAATAAGCCCAGCACTCGGGAGGATCTCTGTGTGTTTGAGGCCAGCCTGGTCTACAGAACGAGTGCCAGGATAGGCTCCAAAGCTACACAGAGAAACCCTGTCCCGAAAAACCAAGAAAAAAAAAGCAAATAAGCAAACAGGAAAATAGTTTCTTGTTCATTCTATGGAACTTAGCTCAATAAGTGACAGCCAGAATATAATTATTTTAAGGTTATTTTAACTGAACTGAAGCCAGGTGGCAGGTAGGGGAATTCCCACTCTCATGTGGGGCAGAGGGGCAAATGATCCTGTAGAATTTTCCATAGAACTGATGAAAACTGTTACATTTACAGTTGTGATTTATATACATTAAAACCAGGAAAAAGAAAATGGGATATAAGTCCAGAGGCCAGGAAGGACCAGGCAGAAGCTTGTAGTTTTTCTTGCCCAGTAGACCCCTGAGCAGATCTTAATTCTCCCAGCATCCACGTATGACAAATGACAAAATTCACAAAGTATTTCACACCAGGGAGGCTTTCCCAAGCCTTGGAACCCAAAGGGGTGTGTGTGTGTGTGTGTGTGTGTGTGTGTGTGTGTGTGTGTGTGTGTGTGTGTGTGTGTGTGTGTGGCATATGTGTGTATATGTCTGTATGTTAACATGAAAGCCATAGCCATAGTACAACCAACTCAGGTGTTGTTCCTCAGGCCTTGTCCACCTCGTTTCTTCTACATAGGCCTTGAACTTGCCAATTATGACAAACTAGCTGACCAGCAAGCCCAGAGGATCCACCTGCCTCTGTTTCCTTTAATACTGGGGCTGCAAGTGCACATCACTACATATGGCCTTTTTACATGAGTTCTGGGCATTGAACTCAGGTCCATATGCTTACAAGGCAAGCATTTTTATCACTTATCTGTCTCTCCAAGCTTTCAAAGTTGTTACTATGGTTCAGTCTGCCCGCATCATTGCTGGCATGGCTGACCTTAGCTATGCACTCTCCAGCATTTCCAGAACCTGCATTGATGTCATATAACTCAAGGCCCCCATCATAAACCACATTCTGAGCATGAACTGTCTGGCTTGGCTAAAGGTTACAGGTAAACAAAAACACCCTTAACCAAGTAGTTTTGAGTGTTTAGTGAGAGAAAACCATCTCTCAAATGTTCAGGTTTGGAACAACTCAGACCTGCTGAGTTAATCTTTTACTGTAGAAGTAGGTTTAATAAAGGAAATGGAAACGTCTCTAAAAGGAAGCTGGTTAATGAATTTGATAAAGAACAAATAGGATAAAATGATCAAGAGGTTACTGAGTTTGGAGGACCTTGACGAGAGCTGTTTCTTGAGAGAGAAAAGTAAAAAAATCACACAATAGAAGAACAAAGAGGGGGGTTGGGACGCAGCTCCATTGGTCGAGTGGGTGCCTGGCATGCACAAAACCCTGTGTTCAATCCCAAGCACTGTACAAACCAGGCCTGGTGGGGCATGCCAGTAATTCCAGTACTCAGAGATGGACAAAGGAGGAATGGCAGTTTAAGGTCATCCTTGGCTACATAGTAAACATCTATTCTCACATACACACACACACACACACACACACACAAAAGTAAACAAAGATTTTTCATTGTTTTCATTTCACGTCCTTAAAGGGAAATTCCAAAAGTTCCCTGCTCAGAATTATAGAACAGGACTTTCGTTTTCAAGACAGGGTTGCTCTGTGTAACAGCTCTGGCTGTCTTGGAACTCGCTCTGTAAACCAGGCTGGCCTTGAACTCACAGAGATCCGCTTGCCTCTGCCTCTGCCTCTGCCTCCTGAGTGCTGGGATTAAAAGCATGTGCCACCACCACCAGGCACAGGACTTTTCAGAATCCTCCAGAGTTCCCTGTGAGCCTGTCTTCTCTGAACAGAGGTCTCACTGTGAGCTCTTAGCATATGGGAAACATATTGCTATGTAGTCAATATGAAAGGCAATTTCCATACAATAGAGACACAAGTTTAGTCCTTGCTAACAGTTGTTCAATAGTCTGATAACATCATTGTTTTGAAGTAAACTTCTATTCTTTCTCCATTTTTAGGTCATTTTTGAAGCAGAACGTGGCAAAGGCAAAACTGGAGAAATTGCAGTGGATGGTGTCTTACTGGTGTCAGGCTTGTGTCCAGATGGCTTTTTATCTGTAGAGGGCTGAATGTCACTGTCTTTCTTTATAGCTTTATATGTGGCTTTATATATATATATATATATATATATATATATATATATATTATGTCATAGGACTCTTCAATTTATAAATACAAGCTGAAAATGTGTAATGTTTCAACAGAAATACTAACATAAGATTCCCTTCTTGTGTCAAATGTACTAAGACTTGGTTAATATAAAGACACCACTGTGCCTTCTCATATGCTTCTGAATTTTCCACATTATGACACGAAGTATGGAAATACCAGCTCACTTACCCCTACCTAGTATATCTGCTCTTTCTGTGTGAGCAGATGGACTCTTCCAAATGACATTTCTAGAATGACAGCAACAGGAAAAATAGCAAAGATAAATGGTTAGTTGTTGAGGCTGGAGAGATGACCTAGTGGTTAAGAGCATTGGCTGCTCTTCCAGAGGATCCAGGCTCAATTCCAAGCACCCACATGGCATCTCACAACCAGCTGCAACTCCAGTTCCAGAGAGTCCAGTGCCCTCTTCTGGCCTCCATGAACACCTTCATGTGTGTGGTACACATGTGTATACTCCAGCCCATAAACATACACATAAAATAATAAAGTAAATCATTTTTTAAATGTTTAATCATTTAACTTTTAAGGTACTTCTTGGAAACAATGACATTAAACATAGATCTTTGCCTAAGTGGCTCAGCCTGCTCTCTCACAGTCAAACTAGCATATTTAATTTTTTTATAATCATATCCAGTTAACCACTTTATGTCATAGTAAGATAAAAGGATATGCTAGTGATCCTATGTTTACTTATGTGTATGATTCTGGAAAACATAATTTTTGTTCATTTCTCTGTTGAAATACTTTGTATTCATAACAATTGGCTAAAACGGGCTTGGGTGGCTTGGTGGAGTGTCTGGCAAGCACCAAATCCTGGGGTCAGTCTCAGCACCTAATAAATTGAATGGTGGGGCCAGTCTCAGCACCTAATAAATTGAGTGGTGGTGCCTGCCTGTAATCCCAGTACATCAGAAGTTTACGGTCATCCTTCGGTACATGGCACATTTGATGCTAATCTGGGCTATGTGAGACCTTGTCAAAAGAGAAGAGAGACAGAGAGTACCAAATCTGTCTTCCGGAAACAATATACTATGTATATTCACCAAAGCTATTCACACACATATCCCTGAAAAGACAGTACAGGAAAAAAAAAAAGACAGTACAATGCTTTTGTGCGAAGAACACTGGACACTCATAGAGATTCCCCACCCACCATCCGACTCGTGGCTTTCTGGACTCTAGTAGATGAGTATGACAGCTAGAAAGGACAGATAGGAACACTGGCTCCTTACCAGTCACAGCACCACGCATACATACATACATATAAACTCTCTCTCTCTCTCTCTCTCTCTCTCTCTCTCTCTCTCTCTGAGAGAAGTTGAGCAGTCCTCCCTGAAACTCACTTTTGCCAGGACAGCTGTTTAAATTCTGTTCCAGTTGACTGTAAGATAGCACTCATAGCAACATAGGTGGATTTTTAAAACAAAGCACTCAACTGGGTATTGAGGCACACTTCTTAAATCCCAACACTCAGATGGCAGAGGCAGGTGGACTTCTGAGTACAAGGCCAGCTGGGTAAAATACATAACATGTTCCAGGCTAGCCAGAGCTACATAATGAGACCTGGTCTCAAAATCTAGAAGTAATGATGTAAAAATAAATAAAAGGGCAGCACACATCAACTGTGGCCAGAAAGCACGTACTATGTGCTATAAAAGTTGTATGCGGGTCAAAGCCAGGCAAAATTAATCAATGGAGAGGAGTTGGGGTGTATTTACCATTGTGGGAAAGTGCTGGAAGGGACCACTAGGGAAAACTTGCAGAAAATAAGGAATTCTAGTGTTTGAGGGGTGTGTGGGATGTATATATGTGTGTTTCTTTCTTTCTTTTTTTGGGGGGGCGGGGGGTTTCGAGACAGGGTTTCTCTGTGGCTTTGGAGGCTGTCCTGGAACTAGCTCTTGTAGACCAGGCTGGTCTCGAACTCACAGAGATACACCTGTCTCTGCCTCCCAAGTGCTGGGATTAAAGGCGTGTGCCACCAACACCCGGCTGTATGTGTGTTTCTAAATATGTGCATGTATATGTGCTTTCTGCTTCTGAATGGGCATGTTCAGTATGTAAAAAGTATTGAACAGTTCACTTAATGGCTGGTGCACTGACTTTTCTATGTATGTAATACTTCAATAGAAATTGCTTTTAAAAACTGAAAGTTGTGCCAGGCAGTGGTGGCACATGCCTTTAATCCCAGCACTCAGGAGGCAGAGGCAGGTGGATCTCTGTGAGTTCGAGACTAGCCTGGTCTACAAGAGCTAGTTCCAGGACAGCCTCCAAAAACCACAGAGAAACCCTGCCTCAAAAAACAAAACAAAACAAAACAAAAAAACCAAAAATCTGAAAGTTGTCTGCACCCACCCTCACCCCACCCCTGTCAAAGTTGAATGTCACGTATGTGAAATTTTTCTTCATGATTTGAAATACCTAGAATGAATCCACATTTAAATACCAGGCAGGTTGTGACTTCAGTTACACACAGATTCATGTATAATCCAGCAGCCAAGAGTTTATAATGGGAATGTCTCTCAGTTTCCCCACCAATGGAACATCATCTGGCTACTGATGGTGAATGCCAGTGTAGTACCAAGAAGGACTGAGGCTGAGGGAAATTGGTCTTGCTGAGAAGTGTTTGAAGCACTTTTTGTATCCTGTTACTCTGTCTAAAACTCCTTTTACTAGGCTGAATACGGTGGCACATTAGTCTAAACACTCAAGAGACAGGCTGGAGGATCAGAAGTTCATAGTCTCAGCCCATTCCACATAGAAAGATACTCCCTGAGCCAAGACACACGGGAGGGGGGGGGCTAGGTCCTATCCCAAAGGATATGATAGACTCTGATGACACCCTATGGAAGGCCTCACCATCCAGGGGAAGCAGAAAGGATATGTGATGGGTAGAGTTTTAGTTGGGGGGGGTGGCAGGGGAAGAGGGGAGGGAGAGGGAACTGGGGTTGTCATGTAAAACAATCTTGTTTCTAATTCAAATAAAAAAAAATCTGCCAAAAAACAAAAAGAAGTTCATAGTCTCAACAAAATAGCAAATTCAAGGTCAGCCTGAGCTACATGAGACTGTCTCCAAAAAGCTGAGGGGGGACCCCAGCCTTTAATCCCAGCAGAGGCAGGTAAATCTCTGTAAGCTTGTGGCCAGCCTGGTCTACATAGTGAATTTCAGGACAGTCAGGGCTACACAGAGAGATCCTATCTCAAAACAAACAAAGCCAATGAGGGGAGGGGATAAAGTGAACAGGGTAGAAAAGAAAGAAAGAGAAAAAAAGTCTTTTCTCTGCAAAGATGAGTCTCAGTCATAGTCACACAGCTGTCCCACTGAGCACAGGACACTTTGCATCCTGCAGTGTTTGAAATCTTCTCTCAGAAACCCCTCCGCACCCCCTGGTGACAGCTGCTATCCTAGTGTACCACCAGGCAGACACCATCAGACAGGCATCTGCTACTCCGTCTCTACCTCTTCCCCGGTCTTTTGTGAACTTTTGCTTCTCTCTGTGTACCAAAACCCTTCCAACCCAGTCATGCTTGAGACCTTCAAGCACTCAGTCTTCCAGACCTCTCTCAGTTCACCCTTGCTAATGCTTACTTGTTCTGTGTCTCATGTGCCTGGTCCCTGACAAGTGAAGGGACAGGATTCTTATAGCACAAGCACAGGGAACATATGGAGCTTCAGGTGTACCCTTTCTTGGGTAATATTTCATACAAGTACCACCCAATGCCTAATCCAAAGGGAAATTTCAGCACTGTGGTAACATCAACATCGACCTGTCCTGGAGTCACACACACACACACACACACACACACACACAAAGGCTGTGTCAGTATGGGCTGGTAGCAAGCCGCAGAAACAGACCCCGAGGCACTTGCAGCAAGGACAGTAGTGTGTGTGTAGACAGGAGCCTTGGAAGTGAGCTGTGGTGCTAGAAGCAAGAGCCATTGTAGGAATGGCCTGCTCAAAAGTCAGAAATACCGGGGAATGGGGATGCCTGGTGCTCAGGCATAGAATCATTACCTAGCATACAAGAAGCTCTTTGTTCAAGCCAAAGCTCCAAATGAACTAGACATGACAGTGCATGCCTGTATTCACAGCCCTTGGGTGTTGGAGAAAACAGAATAAGTAATTCAAGGTTATCCTTGGCATTCAAGGAATTCAAGGCCAGCCTGGGCTACATGAGTTCCTGTTTCAAAAAGAAAAAGAAGTCACAGAAGGTGCTGAGGCCAGGGAGCTGCCTCTGCCTAGGGTAAACAAGCAATCAATTAGCCATTTACAATGTGAGTAAGCTCGCTGTGTCCCACTCAAGTCTACCAGCTAGATCCCATGAAGCAAAAGCTGGAATTAAGAGCTTGTCAATTCCATCCAGAATACCAAGCTAAGTGATTGCCTCACAACAAAGGAGATGACGCCTTCCATTCTCTTCAGAAACCTGGTGGCCTTTGAAGCCGCCTTCAGATGAAAATCGACTATCATAAATACTATCACAGAAACCAAACAGTGCAGTTACTATGCTTTAGTTTACTATGGGGAAAATGAGGGTGAGAGGAGAAGCGCTTCTCTCACACACCACAAATCGGAGGAGTACACTTCAGGCCAAGTGTGTCTCCACAAAAGTCTGCAGAGAACGCAGCCATTCTTTATAATGTTTTCTGATGAGGAGACTGCCTGGCTCCAGGCATGTAGAAAGGGCTCTAGGTGAAGCATACAGTTATCAGTCTGGGAGAAAGTGCCATGAAGTTACAAGGTTAAAAAAAAGAAGAAAGATAGACAGACAGATAAGGAAGTACAGCCCCATGCCCTGTGGGTCAACACTCATGACTGGCTGTTTGGATGAAACAAACAACCTCCCTTTAAAAGGAGAGCCCAAGGACCGAAGTGAAGTAAGCCATTTCCAGAAGACCA